TCAGCATAACATGGACTTTCCACCTCAGCCTTGTAATCAGTTAATGAACTTTGCCCTTCTTTTCAACTCTGCAACCCACCTCAGTGGCTTCGACTCTGGCCTGTGTACCTTATGCACAGGGCACTTGTCCTTAGTACTGGACGACTTCTGACCTTGTCTTCTGCTACCTCTGCTCTCTGGCCTGGCTGCTTAGGTTGACCCGCACCATCTTCTGGAGGCTCCACCAGCCCTGGGAGCATCTTCAGCAGCTGCTTCCCAGCTCCCCACGGAGGACCTGGGCCTCCTGACGCGTTTTGCGCCATGCAGAATCCCTTGGCCGCCTGTTTCCGTCTTTGCAAGCCTCCCCCTCCCTGTCCTGTCCCCTAGCTGGGAACTCACTTCTGACATCATGACTTTGGTCACGTCAGCCTCTTCACCACCCCACCCCCAGGCCCTGCTTCATGGAGGTTTGGAGGGACTTTTTAAATTTTAATTAATTTTTTGCCGCAGTCTGGCTGGATTAGAAAATTTAATTGTACTTTATCTATTGTTATCTCTAGATGATAATTTTTTAATAAGTTTGTAAGTGTGGCATAACATTTTAGTAATGTGTTTTTAGTTTTGTGTGTTAATAATATATTATTTATACAGTGAAATATTTGTAGTTTAGGATTTTGATTTTTAAGTGGCTGGATTATTTTGTTAACATAAATTTGACACATAGTTGGGCTGTTAGCCATCTCTTGAGGGAGTATTTTTTATTTATATCTTTGATCAGGACTTTTATGATTTAGTGTAGGGATAGTAAATGTAAAACGTGGACTATTTTTAGGATGAATTGGAATTGAAAAAAACAATTTTTAATATTTATAACTAAAACATACTAAGTTTTTGGCAAAGTAGACAATAGAGGAATCTCCGATTGAGTAGGTCCCATAATGACCATTTTATTATTAATGGCTCTTAAATCTTGTAATAATTTTTATTTACCAGATTTTTTTTGATGACAAAAATGGGAGTATTATGGGGAGATACAGAAGGTTGTATATGTTTTTTTGTTAATTGTTGTTTGACCAGATTATGGGCTACTTGTATCTTTTTTTTAGTCAAGGGCCACTGAGGAACCTATACTGATTTTTTTGATTTTTATGTAATTTTTATTGTCTCAGTGGCCCTTTGTGAAAATCTAACCCATGTTTGTTTGTTTTTTGATCTATTTGTATTGGTGTTGTTATATTTTGTTTTTGTTTTTTTATTTTTTTTCTAAAACATTGTCTAGCCATAATAGTGGATGCATTTTGATTGATATTATTTGTTAATGTCAAACCTAATTGATCTAAGACATCTCGTCCCCATAAATTTATGGGAAGATGATCCAATACATATGGCTGTATAGTTCCTTTACATCCTTTAGGATCCTTTCAATCTAATACCATTGCACTTTTATGGGGATTAGTTGCCACTCCTAGGCCTCAAAGTGTTTGAGTGGCTTGCTGTAATGGCCAATGTTTTGGCCATTATTGACGAGAGATGATGTTAAGGTCTGCACCTGTATCTAGTAGCCCATTAAATTTATGTCCTTGAATATTTAGCTTTAGCATGGGGCGAGAATCTAAATTTAAAGACAGCATAGCCCAATCTACACCTGTGGAGCCTAATCCCTTGGAACCTCTTTCTACAGCATGACTGGAAAATTTATCATGTAGGCTGGGTATTATTAGTAACTGTGTTATTTTATCTTTTGGTGAAATTACTGATATACCCTTTGGAGAACTGGCTATAATTTTTATTTTACCTTCATAATTGGTATCAATTACCCCAGGACTTATCAAAAGTCCTTTTAGAGTAGAAGAGCTGCATCCCAATAATAAGCCTACTGTTCCTTTGGGAAGAGGTCCTTTCACCCCTGTGGGAAT